CGGTTCGGGTATTACGTCTATGCGGTTCGGGTATAACGTCTATGCGGTTTAAGTATTACGTCTATGCGATCTGGGTATCATGTCTATGCGGTTCGGGTATTACGTCTATGCAATCCGGGTATTACGTCTATGCGGTTTGTGTATAACGTCTATGCGGTTTGGGTATTACGTCTATGCAATCCGGGTATCATGTCATGCGGTTCGTGTATTACGTCTATACGGTTCGGGTATTACGTCTATGCGGTTTGGGTATAACGTCTATGCGGTTTGGGTATTACGTCTATGCGATCCGGGTATCATGTCTGTGCGGTTCGGGTATTACGTCTATGCGATCCGGGTATTACGTCTATGCGATCCGGGTATTACGTCTATGCGATTCGGGTATTACGGTTTGTCCGATAGGTAACGCTTTGTCCGATAGGTTAAACTTTGACCGATAGGTTACGGTCCGTCCAAGATGTCGGCACTAATTTAGTGAACACTTATCGCATACATTATAATAAGCACTTTGAATAAATTTAAACAATTTTCGTTTTAAGTAAACTTTAATGCATTTAAAAACTTATTGATTATTACAATGATTTGGTGTGGATTATATACTAATTTTAAGAAAATTTGGGTGTTAACAAAAAAAAACATTATAATAGTTATAAAATTTTTAGGGCAAAAATTCTTTTTGATAAATATATCTTTTGTTGTGAATATAAGTGTATAGGAAAATTTGATTGATTAAAAATAACATTAAAATAGTTATGAAAATTTGAGTACAAATTATTTTTATTATAAATACAATTTTTACAGTTACTATAATTTGGTAATATTCATTGAAGGACATTTATTTACATTAGTTATAATTGTTATCACAATGTATAACATTTTCATGGTTTATTTTTTCAACTAAACTTTAAACCTCTACTGTAATTTTGATGTAAATGGTAAATGTAAACTGTAAATGTAAACTTTAAATGTAAATTGTAAATGTAAATTATAGACTACTTTTTGTCTATTAGTCAAAAACACTAAATTCACTCATAAAGTTAAATAACATTTAATTCTATGTATAATTTTGATTGATTACTGAATTAGTAATTTAGGTATTAAATTTCACGATAACACTAAACTAAGTACATTATTTATATTAAACTAATTTTATATAAATTTATAATCTTATAATCTAATGTTAACGCATGCTGTTTTAAGTATTCAATGATGAAATTTAATGTAATTGTTATTAATTAGCATTTTGATAGTGTGACAAGTATTTTCGTTAATTATGTATTGTCCAATATCTTACACAAACTCAAACATCACATGACTCACACCCGCTTATGTAAGTAGGTGTTGACTCGACTTTCTATTCAGAGCCATCTATGAGTCCCTCTGCTTCAGACCTCACTGTCTTGCATACAAAAAGTTTAGGGACTGTTGTATAAGTGTATACTCATTATGTGTTGTGGTTAATTGTTAATAGATTGTGTCAATTAAAATTAAATTACACTAAACCCAGTCATTAGAAACAAAAATTTGTTTGTTTGAATGGGTTTAGTTTGGTGGTTTTGAAACGTTCAATGAAATAAAAATAACATAAAAGTATTATAAAGTTTTTATGCATTTCTATGTCAATAATAAAATATATCAAGAGTTGATCAACACTATTAAATTAATAAATTTATCCTAGAAATATTTATTACTGTATTTTTTAATGTACATGGACTACCTATTCTTGTATTCTGCAAAAAATCTATAATTACTGTATAAAACAGGAAATTCCTGTATGATTGGCAACGCGTATTACAAAATTGTTGCCAACCAAGGCGATCACGTGACGTAGCCAAATTTCAAAATTGACCACTTCGTGAGCAATTATTTCAAATTTTAGAAATCGGCATTACGAGAAATGAGACACGCTATACACATAGTCCATACATTAACTTAAATAGATGTGCAATTTTTTTAAATTTATAATTTATAGTTTACAGATGGCGCGATTTTTAAAAAATAATATACAGCCTAAATTGTCATGTCATTTTTAAAAGTCGCGCCATCTGTAAACTATCAATTGAAAATGGAAAAATTTTTGCACAACTATTTAAGTAAATGTATGGGATGTGTGTTCAACGTGTTTTCATTTATTGCAATATCAGCCTCTGAAATATTACATAAGTGACTCGCGCGGTGGTCAATTTTAAATGCAGCTACGTCACGTGATTGCGATTGTTGGCGAAAATTTTGAAAACCTGATTCAATAATGCCATACTTTTGTCTATCTTATGCAAAAAATTTGAATAAAATATCTCTTGTAGTTTATGAATAATAATAAAATTAAAAACTTGGTTAATGCTCGAATACACTGTATAATACACATATGTGATGGAGGGTTTTTCTCCTAAAACTCGAGTCATTATAATTTTCCACTTTTAGCTCAATTCCTTCAATGTCACTTTTATTCTTAACATCCTATTGAGGATAATCTCTTTATCGATTATTGTGTTCACCTATTAACTCAAATGTAGTTTTGGTCGTGAGGACTGTTTGCTTAAAGCATTCAGTTCCTCCCCACCCGTCAAACCGTATACAATAAAATAGTTATGTCTCACTGCTGTGTCTCTGTCTCTTCGCGTATCACCGCTAAGTGATCCGCGATATACCTCTTGGTCTACCTCTCGTAGGCAGGGAGCAAACGATTTGCAGTACGGCCAGCGTGAAGCACCAACAGCAGTAGGATTGCCGTGAAGGCCTAAGACGCGCAGTGGGATTGGTCGAAACTCAACCACTTTCAATAGTTACATCATTAGGTTTGTGATCTCCGAGAAGATCACCCAATAATAGCCCCGAGAGGTTATTATCACCCAGAGCTTAGCTACCTCTGGAAAACCCGCCATCATACATATATGTTTTACTTAATCAAACATTTAATAGTTGTTTATGATCATTAAATTGAAATACAATAAAAAAAGTTAATAAATACAACAAAATAAATCATAATGATTACAAATAGAATATAATTTTCTTGATTTCGTTTAATTATTAATAAATTTTAAATAAACTGAATTTTTTCTATTAGTTCACACAAACTCTTCATTGAATTTCATGTAAAATCATTGATAAAATTTTGTCAAATCATTAAATTTACCTCGTGACGTAATAGAAAATAAAGATCACACAGTGACGCATTTCGGGTTTTGATCAAAGAATAGATTTGCATTAATTTCACAGACATCTCATTACCCATAGATTAGCATTAGTTCCATAGAGTTAAACAGTTTAAGGGTTTACATAAAATTTCAATTTTAAAAACAAAAATATTTATCAATTAGTAAATTGATTGATTAGTATATTTTTAGTTTTTTGATTAATTAATAATAATTATTCACTAAAATAATTTATATTTTAAATTTAAAATATGCATACAAATGTATAGGGGCGCTCAAGTGATTCCAATCGGGCGGTTTTCTTGATATCTCTTAAACTAGACGAGGTAATTAAATTCTGTAAAGAGCATTCAATAGAGCCATATACGCGGGATCTTTTGAATAGCCGATCAATATATCTTGGTCACGTGGTATACAAAATATGGGACGATTCCGGATGGTCATATTACAGGTCATACTATAAGAAATATAGAGTGATTGTCTTTATAAACGACATATCTCATAAATATACTTTCTATTAATTTTACAAACAGATTATAATAAAAAATAAGCATAATAATTACTAATAAATTTTATAATTTACATTAAATCCAATACTATTCAAAATATTACGTGTAGAGAGGCCTATAAATAGGCCAGCGTTTGACATGTTGGGTGGCCTAATAATAGGCCAGCAAGTAACGTGTAAGGTGGCCTATAAACAGGCCAAAGCATTGTTCAATGATAGCTAGAATCATATATTTTATTTAATGTTATAGCGTGTAAGGTGGCCTAATATAAGGCCAGCGAGTAACGTGTAATGTGGCCTAAAAATAGGCCAAAGCACTAATATATACTAAGATATAAAAAGTTACGTTTCGTGTAAAGTGGCCTATTAATAGACTAAAATTCAATTTAATAATAGTTACAATTAATTAATATTTATAAAAATTTGCATTTATTTAAGTTTCGATATTGTTGAGGCATTCCTGAAGTTTCTTAATTATAGGCTTCTTGATTGATTTTTAACTGATTTTTAAAGTTGGATTGGCCTAAAAATAGGCCACCCAACGCGCGAAGGGTTAATTTGATAAGTTTGGCAGCGGCTAAAGAGATGGCTGTGATTAGCGATCCGGTGTCCAAGAAGGCACTTTATTGAAGCGTGTTCTGTATTCTGAGAACTCGTAATCGGTTGTTTTATAGCATGAGTTGTCAAATCGTTTGATAAACTGTTGTCTCCTTTATTTCTCAATATTGCGGGCAATTTTCACCAAGTCCGTACAAATTTCGGGGGATGGCGAGCGACAGTTGTTCTGAACCAATCGGGTAACTCGTCTTGATTTGGTACTATTGTGTATTACCATAGCAAAACATTGAATTTATACTTAATTATAAACACGTGTAGATCAGGCATCTATAATTCGATATTAATAAACTAGGTTAATTTCAGACAATTACAAATTATAATTTATTTACGGATACTAATTATACAATTTCACTAATGTTTTTGGTAATTTCTATGACAATATTTACAATAAATGTATTATTTAAAAAAATAATGGCCAAAAACGGATTTCTTCACTCAAAAATTAAAATAGCTATTAGAATTTTTTAACCATTATTAATTTATACTAAAAACATATTAATTAACATAATTAGTTTGATGATTGTTATATGTTAGCTATTTTATTAAAAAATAACGTTTAAATAAATAATTCCAGAAAAAAATTACTGTGAATAATACAGTTGTGTAAAATTAATTATAATATTAAATTTACTTATTACTTATGACTAACAATCTTTTGAATTATTATTATCCATCTAAGATGACAATTTACAGAAATAGTTATTATTAGGAATAATTTGTTTAAAGAATATAAGCTATAAAATAGTACCAATTTATTGTAACACCCTTTACATACGGTCCCAAGTGTATTACATTATAGTGAGTAAATCTAATTTTAATTAGTTGTTGTAATTACAATCGGAAATTTGGTATTTTTTTTATCCTGTAGAGGAACAGGATTGAATCGATTTCCGACAGGACAAGAATATGTTTGTAATGTAAATGTTTACGATAATAATTAATGCGTTTATAATAATCTAAACATGCTTTTGGTTTTTGGTCTCAGTAGTGTTGCACCACAGTTTTCGCATGTTGTTGAAGTTGTTGTCAGTGCTGACCAACAGGTCTCCGGTCGTACGCAACGTATTGTCGCCAATGTATTGGACAAAGGGTTCGGCGACCGGAAAGCCGACGACGAGTTTCGCACACTTCTGGACAATGCCTTCAAAGGAAAGGATGACTCGAATAGAGTGGACGACGACTTATGGCGCGGATTCGCTGTATTCACGATGACTACAGACGGCAACCGATTTCAACAGATCTCGAGACACATTGCGAGACAATCGGCACAAAACAAACCCAGCATTTGGTTTATGTTTACCGGTAAATTATATTAATATTTAGTTTTAATTTTATTTAAATATTAATTCTGTACGCTATAAAATGATAATTAATAATAAAAATATAAATTATAGGTTTGCGAACAATTGTTTTGCATTCAGTGCCGGCATTGATGACAATCCCTGCGTTTAAAGCATCGGTGAAAACATCGGCCCTAATACTGTCCTCTTTAGGCGTCGACGGCATCGAGTGTTTGACCGAAACTATTGCGAGGAATGAATATAATACGCAAAATATTTATCGTCTTTTTATCGCAACGGCTGTCTATCACATGGCGTTCGTCGACGCTCTGCGCGCCGTAGGGATCACTGCCGACGGATATTTAGGCGAATCATTGGGCGAACTCATGTGCCTATATATGGACGGTCTGTGCGATCGGCGCAAGTGTCTGGCCATTTGTCGAGCTATTGAACCGCCAACGAGTGAGCACATGTTATGGACATTAATCGCGAGAAACTCGTCGCACGAGATTCAACGCCATTGCATGAATAAGCATGATATATGTGTGTTCGCACACTTTGCCGACACCTATATTGTCTTAATGGGTACGGAAGCGGCTGTACGTGAGTTGGGGGATATGTTAACTGGTTTGGGCACCGAAGTGGTTAATATTAGCCCAAAACACCAGTTTTTGCACACAGGTAATATGTTTGTGCCTTATATGGGCCAAGAACTACTCTACCAATTGACCAAGGTGGTGCCCGAGCGAATAATGAACTCTAAGCCCAGCGATCGTTGGCTCTCAACATCACAGCTTATGGTCAAAACCGGTGGCACTGCCGCCGGTTTTTCTGCGGCCGAGAGTTTTGTCAATACTTTGTTGTCTCCCGTATTGCTTAAGGAAGCGGTCGATCGCTTGCCCGCCGACGCACTCGTCGTTGATATCGCTATTGATTCCGATTTGAGGGACATTGGGCTCAGCGGTAGAGTACAGGAGCGGTACGTTCGGCAGTCGGAGTCGAGTCCGGAGCCGATATTTGGTATCAATCATTTGTTACGTGAGATCGGACTCGTGTTTACGGCCGGACACTGGCCTCGGGTTCACGATTTGCAAGCAAGCATTTAAGTCATTGGTCTATGAATCGCGTGCTTCTAATATTTGGCTTCTAATAATTAGTTGATTTAAATTTTAATTTAATATTGAAATGATTTGTGGTACATCAACGATTTAACATTGGCTTTCGGAGCCGGTAGAGCCGGAATCGTGGCTTTGAACAAGCCTCGGCCCTGATATCTCAAATAGTAATTTGCATAACATTTAACAAAAATAATAGTTTTTAATTATAAATAATTAGTAAAATGTTAGTTTAGTTCATATGTGGGAAGGCATTTATATATTTCGTGTATTGCATGAATTTGTTGCGTTAATGTAAGACAAGGCTCCGACAAGGCTCTGAAACCCGAAATTTGGAATTTTCCAATGATTATTATAAATAAAGCACACTATTCATAGTTGACGAACTGGCTGATCAGCGAGAACTAACGTCAGTGCCGTCTAGTTAGTCTATAGTAAATTGATTGTTACAATAGAAATATTGTTGTATATTTAGAAGAATACATTTGCTATTAACAAATAATTTTATATTTTTTAAAAAGTGCGGTAAATATAGCAATAAAATGTGTTCATATATTTATCTAAACAATTGCTCGCATTAATGTTAACAACAATAAAAATCGTATAAGTCGTAATGGGAAGTTTTTGCCTGTTCTTGTGAATCCCTTGCATTATATTGCACATCATGTGATTTGATATGTAGAGGTATAACAAAAATGTTCAACCAATAATAATATTTAATAAATGGTAGTATCAGTCAATAAATTATAATAGCGCTCAGACTTATTACTAATGACTAGGCTTGCCAACTCAATTTGACACATTCCTTGAAAATTTTAAAAATGTTAAGAGTTCGCCTTGACATTTCCTTGACCAACGTTTTTACTGCAGATTTTAAATGGAGTTTTTCCTGGTTTTTGATAAAATTTACATAAATATATTTATAATATTTATCCACTTCTATCAAAAATCATTTATTTTAAATATTATTATTTTTAAAGTTTATTTACTTCATACATTCTGGTATTTTGTTTTGCACCAAAACAATACATAGTAAAGTTACATAAAATGTTTGCATACAGTATTATAAAAGTGCATAACTTTTGAGTTTTACATTCCTTGACATTACAATGTCAATGAATGACCCTCGCCTTACACCTTGACAAAACCACATATTCCTTGACAATCAAGGCAAACCTTGACGAGTTGGCAAGCCTACTAATGACATACAGTTAACTAAATAACTTCATTCAGTTCGAAAAACGTGAATAACTTTTGACTGGCTAATTCGATTTTGTATCTGTTTTCACAGAATTGTTCCCTGATAACATAAATTTAACCACATATAATTTGCCCGGTTAACTAGCACGGCTCAAGAAATATATCAAATCTTGTAACGGACAAATTTCTCATAGAAAAGCATTGAGTAATCATAAAAACGAAACTGGTATTACAGCAATTTAAAGTTATTGCTATACCATTCCTAACCTAAGTGCATTTTCAAACAAGGATCACACAAGGATAATATTGTTGTGTGGTTAGCCCTTACCCGAGCTTCACTCCACAAAACTATGTCATGAGAGGAGGTTTTACCGGACCTCTCAGCTCACAACTGCTCACTTCGACTTCATTTGTTGCAATTGTTAGTCAAATATGTTAGTATATGTTATGGGCGACTGCCCGCATTGTTTTATTTATTAGTGACATATAAGAATGGTTATTCTAACAATTGTGTAATGAAGGTTCAGTCTATTAAACATACAATGTTGTTCCCAAGCGGTGGAATTATTGCATAACTATTGTACAAATCATTCACGAGGATTCTCTATTAAATGTGTCCGAGCGGTGATAGTATGCGTCAAAACCAATGCAAAATGTAGAGCTAAGCTCTACACATGTATAAAACAAAGGGACTGTTATAGTGTGTGAGGGGCTAGAGTCCTCACACATATTAATTCTCTATGGGTGTTCCCGATAGTAATAGTATACGTTTAAGCTAATGCAAAATCCAGACTCCATGTCTATAGATGTCTAACACAAAGAGGCGAGGATTGAGAGTCCTCGCACTTGGTATTACTTTAAGGGAGTTACAGAGAGTGAGAGTCTTACGTCAAAAGCTTACGCTATGTGTGAAGTCCAACCACACACATGTATACATAAGGGGATAACATTGGAGTGTGCGCAGTGAGAGTGCACACACGTGGGGCTACTCTATCGGAATTTCTAAGAGTAAGAGTCTTACGTCAGAGCCTACGCTATGTGTGAAGTTGCGTTACACACATGTATACATAAGGGGCTAACATGTGAATGTTTGCAATGAGAGTGCACACGTGGGAGTATTGGTATTCCTTATTTAATACGAATTAATACTGATTGTTACTACATAGATGGCGTTTACTCTACGCCATTACATTATTATTATCTTAATATAAGTTAAAGGAATAATGCGCTTACTATTGTATGGTGTGTATTAGTATTCGGTATAATTAACGTCTATGCGATCCGTGTATTACGTCTATGCGGTTCGGGTATTACGTCTATGCGATCCGGGTATTACGTCTAAGCGGTTCAGGTATTACGTCTATGCGGTTCGGGTATTACGTCTATTTTGGTTTGGGTATAACGTCTATGCGGTTTGGGTATTACGTCTATGCAATCCGGGTATCATGTCATGCGGTGCGGGTATTACGTCTATACGGTTCGGGTATTACGTCTATACGGTTCGGGTATTACGTCTAAGCGGTTCAGGTATTACGTCTATGCGGTTCGGTGTATAACGTCTATGCGGTTTGGGTATTACGTCTATGCAATCCGGGTATCATGTCATGCGGTTCGGGTATTACGTCTATACGGTTCGGGTATTACGTCTATACGGTTCGGGTATTACGTCTAAGCGGTTCAGGTATTACGTCTATGCGGTTCGGGTATTACGTCTATGCGGTTCGGGTATAACGTCTATGCGGTTTAAGTATTACGTCTATGCGATCCGGGTATCATGTCTATGCGGTTCGGGTATTACGTCTATGCGATCCGGGTATTACGTCTATGCGGTTTGTGTATAACGTCTATGCGGTTTGGGTATTACGTCTATGCAATCCGGGTATCATGTCATGCGGTTCGGGTATTACGTCTATACGGTTCGGGTATTACGTCTATACGGTTTGGGTATTACGTCTATGCGGT